ACCTCATACCATCCGCCAATGCAAAACCACTATTCTTCATATCTTTTAAATATTCAAGATGATTATTTCCCACTCTTCTATGCGAACGGAGCAGATGACTCTTGCCAAATGAACATAACTCATGATTGTGCTCTTTTACATGTTTTATAACTGTCCACATCCCATCGCCCCCCACGTCAAACTGAACAAGTGCACCACAACCAGTCCTTATATCAATTTTTGAATAAAGCTTAACACCACTATTTGGTTTCTCCTTATACCCAGCCTTAGCACAGAAGAACCTCTTCATCTGAATTGACTTAGTAGATGCCTTATAACGTTGTTGACCTTTCCTCACACTAAAACCAACTCTGTATGCATATCCATTATATAACTCAAAAGCTTCATCACCATTACTTACTACAACACCAACCAAGTCTTCATCAACTGCAATTGCAACAAAAATATAATCACACCTATACCAACTACTAAATTATGAATGTACAGGTCAACTATAATGAATATAATATGCTACAATAGAAAATCATAATTTCATATGAGAAAATTCAGAAACTCACAGAAAAAAATTCATAATATCATATCAGAACGTTCATAAGAGAAACAGAGTATCAATAACAGTTGTGACATTATGGACATTCAAAGCTACATAGATAGTGAATAATATCATAACAGAAATAAGTTTGATGGAAATATATTCTTTATTTAAGTAGAGGGGGGACGGGGAATGCCGAATAAATCCAGCCATGCTCTACATAAGAAGAATATATTGTCCATCAATAACAGTTACACATAATTCATAAACTCATAGCATAAAATTCATAATCTCATAACATAAAATTCATAATCTCATATACAAAATTCATAATTACATAACAGAAAATTCATAACCTCAAAACTATGAATTCATAACAGAAACAGAGTATTAATACCAATCGCAACATTACTGACATTCAAATTGCATATAATCACCATGAATCAGTACCTACAACTACCAGAAACCACATTCATGTTAAAAAGCTAAGAAAAGAACCTGGACTTGAAGACGAGCCACCAATGTCAATGTTTAACTCTACTTGATCAGTGCTTATTGAATCACCAACAAAATCTTCATTCACTGAATATATGCAAACAGAGTAACATACCAGTTAATATGTTATGAACATAGTACTATTAAATTATGAACATTCATACCACATGCATGAACAGAGTATCAAAATTCATAATTGCGTAACAGAAAATACATAATCTCATATTGTAAAATTCATAACAGAAACATAGTACTAATAACAAATGCGACATTATGAACATTCAAACTGCATAGATACTGAAAAAACACCAATAAAAACAAACTAAATCTTCAACATGCTAAAATCTCATAAATCAAACGAAATCAAACGCATAAAATCGAACGAACCTGGAATCGCATAAATCAAATCACCGATCGAATCTTCTCTGCGAACCGCTGTCTCCTCCATCTACGAGTTCAAATCAATCAATCGCGAATAGGAAAGAATTGTGAATATCGGATCGAATCAATCGCGAATGGGAGAGAGAATTGTTAAACTGCCAAAATCAGAACTGCCTTCAAACTCGATACTAACGCCGTTAATAGAACAATGAATTTTTTTATTTTTATTTTTTAAGTGACGCCAAAAACGACGTCATTTGGAAACGTGTTCACCAAGCATGGTGAACACGTTTCCACGGCATAATTTGCGCCTTGAAGTTGTATCGAATATTGATTTGAGGATTTCTTATGTTTGGATAGTTTAGCCTGTGCATCTGAGCTCTCCAGCTCAGATGTGGCCTAGCACCCCGACTATTATGTTTAGTTCATGCTCTTTTTGGGAATTTATAATAGATTTGCCTTTATTTCATAAGCTTTAAAAGTTTTCAAAATTAGGGGTGTTACAATAAGTCTACAAATCCATCAAAATAAACAACATGATAATAATAAGAGTTTAGACTACTAGATCTACTAAGCCAGTCTAACTCGATCATCTCTCAAATGCTGGGCCCACCTGAAAGGGTTTTTACAAAACAACACGTAGACAAGTAGGAAAACACCCATTAGCACGAAGCTAAGTATAACCACACTCAACCTTGTAAGGTACTACAATATATACATTGGAAAAACATTTGTTCACAGACTCAAATCAAGCAATCTCAACACTTAGACAACTTTAAGATACATCACAGACTTTCTATATGCTTGCAACCTATAATATCAACAGGCATGCTTCAACTATAAATAACTCATCAACATGAATATTCCCACACATATTTCTCATAACAAAACTCATCATAACGATCTCATGCTATCAATCAATTTCATACTAACAACCGTTACGAAATTATCTTCATGCTTTCAAGTTCTCATCATGCAAACTAGATATATAAGATATCAAAATGCAACTAAGCCATCATGCTCAATAAACAATCTCAGTTAATCATTCTCAAATGAAATCTAGTGCAATACTATACTCAAATGCAATCTCGTGCAAACATTCTCATTATGCAATCTCATGCAAACATTCTCATTATGCAATCTCGTGCAAACATTCTCATTATGCAATCTCGTGCAATACTATAAGTATACTCATACACTCATTTGTAAAATAGAATACTTTTCTATGGAGGTTTCTTAGAGCCACAAGGACTCGCTTGCTTTCTTTCTTTTCTTAGGGTCGCAATGACTCGCTTTCTTTCTTTCTTTTCTTAGAGTCGCAATGACTCGGTTTCTTTACAAATGGACGAGATAGGAACTTCACCGTAGCGTGAACGAACCTATTCGGGCACGGCGTCTAGCTGGCCTAATACTCATCTCGTCCACCGAACCACTCTCTTGGTTCTATGCTCAAACTCTGTGGAATCAAGTATCGAACTTTTAGCGTGCACACCTCCTGACTAGGATTCTAAGCCTGGCGGGTAGTTTCCAACCTCGTAACGTGGGAATACACCGCATTACATATGCTGGGACTGCAATGTCTATAACTTTCATCCGAGAGGACATAGTCCAAACGGGTCCTCCAAAATAAGCTAGGTTTTCCTCACCATAGATATATATAGATATATTGCTCATGCATCTCATATATGCAACACTTAACTTATGCAAAAGACAAGCACATACTTCTCAACTCATTCTCAAAGACAAGATAAAGATGCTCTACGTGGAATGAGATTTTTGGAAAATAATACTTAGGCTCAAGTTGGCCACTTATGCACTTTTAAAAACATGATTTACTTGGAATGCAATTTACTGTACAACATGCTTCAAATTAAATATCACTGTGATCTCTAAAGGACACAATCAACATGCTTGGTTTACAACATATCAAACTATGTATATTTCTACCATCAAAATAGACCTCAAATTCCATTGAACATCCAACACATTCTAGTCATGCTTTTCTAACAATTCTTATTCACAAGTGTTCATGCTTCTCTATTCAAGTTCTGAAATAGCATCAGGAAGGTAACACCAAGCAATTCCCAAAAGCAATAAACTCAAATAAACATTATTGTGAAGCATTTCATTGCAAATTCTACCATAACATGCTCATTTCTAATCCAAGTACAACAAAATCAAAGCCCAAACGTGCGTCAAGATGGCCCCGAGGTACCGAGCCACAAGGGTCCTTGACACCTGGCCTGAAACGACACATAGCTGAGCCACAAGGGCCTGGCCACTGCAGAGAGATAGCTCGGGGACCATGGGGCGGGGCTCAGCATGGCCCGCCCCCTCAGGCCGTTAGATTGTCGGACCTAGGCAATGGCCCTCTCCTAGGGCCGTGCCCTAGGCCCGGTCGGCCACGGCTCTAGCTAACGGTCCCCTTGATTGGCCGTTGGCTAGGGCCGTTACTTCATCTGGTGCACAGACAGATGATCTACTTTCATCTGCAAAACATTCTCAACCAACTCCAACTCATCCAAAACATTATCAACACATCATAAACAAGTAATAGATCACTTCCTACCTCAAACACATCAAAAATCTATCATTTCTACTCATTTCTACCTAAAAACCAAGGCTTCACAGAGCCAAAATCTAGAGTGGGAGTCCATGGGGTTATACCTTTGAAGCTTGCACTCCTAGCTTGGATCTCTTCTTCCTCCCAACTTAGCTAGCGCCTCATTCACCACCTAAACTCCCCAAACAAACCATACAAAGCTTAAGACTAGAACCTCAGAGAATGGATGAAAGCTAGAAGGGAAATGGAAGGATAGGATTGAATGGAGAAGGAGGATGAAACTTACTGTGTTGTTCTTCTTTCTACTTAGCAGACAAAGCATTGGTGAGGCAAAGAAAGAGATCAGGGAATCAATGAGGGAATAAGGTGGGTTTTATAGGGTGCAAAACCCTAGGATGATACTCAATGATTGGTGGAGGGCAAGATGGTAATTTGGTGGTTTTTCTAGAAATATCAGACAAGGAGGAAAGCTTTTGGCCCACCTCGCAACATGGACCATAGTCTAGAAAGGTGATTTTAAATAGTTTGGGATCAAAATAGATTTTTCCAAAGATGATTTCTAAACAAACACATGGTTCAGATTTCTCCTGGTCATACTCAGATGGTTTCTCAGTTTTAAAACTTGGTACACGAAGTACCCAAAAATTTAGGACTTTGGAATTAAAATAAGTTTCGGTGTTGAATTAATTTAAAATGTAACTCAAAATAATTTATTCAAACACGAATTTATCTCAAAAAGAAATGTAATGAAGTGAAAATGGCTATTTTAGAATTTCTTACAATCGGATTTATAAAACTAAATTTTGGGTTGTCACAGGTACCGCCTTCCTCCGCCGCTTGCCCCTCGCGAGAGTTATCTGCCCAGGGTCTCTTAAAAGATATTTCCTGGTTGTGCTTTTTCCTAACCGCCTCCTCGGCCAGCTGATTGGCCCACTGGATGGCCTCCGCGTATGTTCTAGGATTCTCATCCCGCAACTGGCTATAGTGTTCGTCCTCTCTCAACGACTCGATGAAGAACGTCAGGGCTGTCTAGTCGTCCAGGCCATCTACCACCTGCGCCTCCTTCTGCCATCGAGCGATGTACTTGCGTAAGCTTTCCCCTTTATCCTGGTGCACTCTGGCCAAGTTAGAGACAGATCGCTTAGGCTTCATGCTCCTGAAGAAGTGTGTCAGAAACTTGGTTGCCAACTCCTCAAAGGTATTGATGGATCCCGAGGGGAGCCTAAGGAACCATCTCTGGGCCGGTCCGGTCAGTGTCGGGAAGAATGCCCAAAAGATCATCGGGGTGTCTGTAACACCCCGTGTTACGACCCCTAAAACCATTTAACTAATTAATCAATAGCCCAAGAGAAAGAATAAATTATAATGATTAATTAGGGAAAAAGGCCCACCATAGTCCATGGGCCCTCATATATAAACCCAACCCCTAAGCCCAATCCTTAGTTCCAAATGGAATAGAATTAGCAAACCTATAATATTAGTTCCTAATTAGGACTCCTAAATATATAAATAGGGGACTTAAGAGGCACCTAGAACTCCCCACAAGATTAACGCCCCACCACCCCAAAAGAGCTCTAAGAATCCCCTTAGGAGAAATCAAGAAAGCAAGGAAGCTTAAAGAAAGATCCTTCATAGCCAAGGAATTAATTAAGGCTAAGAGGTAACCCATGTCTCAACAAAACCTATTTTCATAGTTATAATTCCCCCTTAGGGTTTCCCCATATTATTGTATATTGGCGAGTTATGATGATTATTATTGGTAATTGATGTGATGATCCCATGGGGGATCTTGATAATCTTGATATTGGGAGATTCTTGATGATTATATGGAGTTCTTGATGATTATGTGTTGTTCTTGATAATTGTGTGATGCTCTTGATGTTTATGCGTTATTCTTACCGAATCTTGCAAATAGAAGACGAACCGTATTCTTGTTGATATAAAAGTGATTAGAACCCTAGGTTGTATCGTATGATCTTATTCTTGGATTATCGGGTGGGGAAATCGCATGTTTGGGTGTTGATTATATTTAGAAAAGCATGATAGGTTATGTGCCGTTCGTTTCTTGTATTTGACTCGTTAATTATCTACGTGTTGTCGTTAATTGCGTTGTAAAGTGTCTAAGCATGGTTTCGGGTTCCACAACGGTTCCCGGGGCGTAAAGTGTGTGAAAAGAGAGTGGGGGGTAGGGGACCCACCACCTACCCACGGCCGTGAAACACCGCCCCGGCAGCGAGTGGCCGGCGGGCGGGCAGCTGCCCGCCGGCGACCCGCTGCCCGGAACAGTAAAGTCCGGCGGGCAGCCGGCGGGTGGCCCCCCCACCCACCGGCTACCCGCTAGAAATTATCCCAATTCAGGATCCCGGCTTCCCCGTTTGATGTTCCCCCGATCCCCGTGGTGTCCCAACGGACTCCGTTCTTCGTGCCTATGTCTAGTTTGATATTTCGGGTGCCGTTCGTAGGTTTACGAGTCTATTATATTGCATGCTAGTTGAATTGGTATCCCGTTGACCTAGGTGGTAGAAGTATGAACCCCTTAGGACTATTCTTAGTATGTGATGGATCACGCATAGGTTTTGTTATACGTTTTCTCCCCCTTCCTAATGTGTAATGTGGGTTGCATGTGCTTGCTATGTGTTATGTGTGTGTGTTACCCCAATTCGGTTGCGATCGGATTGGTTATCCTGAGCTGCGGTTCAGAAGCTGGCTGCGGTCAGATTGATACTCTTGGGCTGCGGTCCACCGTTTGGTTGCGATCAAACGTTTCTATACGAGCTGCGGTTCGTCCTTTTTTCCTGGCTGCGGTCAGATGACATTCTCTTGGGCTGCGGTCCACTGTTTGGTTGCGATCAAACACTATGATGAGCTGCGGTTCATCGGTCGGTTGCGATTGACCCCTCCGTGTTGCGATACGGGGCAGGGTGCTGCGGGGCCGTGTCAGAGCTATATGCGCTGACCCTCATGTATGGGCATGCGATTGGTCCTGTGGCGCCAACAAAGTGTGTTATGTGTTGTGACAGGGACGAGTTGTGATTACGAGTGTCTTGGGAGATGTGACTATGGGATTTATATTGGGGATTGTTCATGTTGGGTTATGATCGTTGTTTATGCTTTGCCTTATCTGCCTCATCTGTTGTGAACTGCATATGCTCGTTATAACTGTTGCTTGTGTCTGGCCTTATCTGTCGAGTCATTCCCGGTTTTAAAGCTAGAGTTCGTAGGACATATCTTCATGCTCAAAATGGTTTTCGTATATCTATATATATCTCTATATGTATTGTATTTCAACGCGTTGGAGTGGGTTACCAGCATCTCTCGCTGAACAGATATATTTGGCTTTCAGGCACAGAGGACTAGAGCACTGGAGCGCGCTAGAACTGGAACGTAGAAGTAGATTAGTTTCCCTTTTCGGCCTACGCGCCATATTATGCATTGTGTTTCAATGGATACTAGTTAGACAGCCTGTGCACCTGGGTTCTCTAGCCCAGGTGTGGCATAGCACCCCGTACGCTTGTATTTATATCTTGGGATTTAATAAGATTCTACCTTATTATAAGTTTTAAATGTCTTAAAAATCGGGGGTGTTACAGTGTCGGCCCCTATCACTTGCATTTTGGCTTGGAAGCTAACGACGTGGTCGCGCGGATCCCCCGTGTCGTCATAAGTAGGATGATCGGGAAACTTAAACCCTGCCAGTGCCCTGTAAGCATGCACCTGTGCTGAGAAGGGCAAGACAATCAAGCGGCTGTTAGTGACCAGCTTGTCTCTCCCCTCCACCATCTGTCGCAACTCCTGCACGGCGGTGAGTAGACCGGCCACTTCGGGGTTCCCGGGGCCAGGCGGAGTGGATGATTCCTCCACCCCCTCTATGGCTTCTCACCTCTGCCGTTCGGCCAACCTCCTTTGGATAATGGCTCGCGGCTGCTCTCTAGCTGACCGGGCGGGTAGGTGCTGCCCTGTCCGCCGACCTAAGCGCTCCAAGACCGACTGCGCTGGGGCCGCGGGTCCAAGTCTGGAGTGCGCGGAGCGGTTTGCTTGTTGATCAACGGACGGATGGTTCCCTGAGTGCTCTGAACGCTTGAGCTTTGCACGGGGGTTCTCTACAAGAGCAGACTGTACGGGTTGTTGAACCTCGCCCGCGCACGAACGCATCAAAGGCTTGCGCATTCAACTCCGCGAAGTTGGCTTGGGCCTGAGCGGCAGGCGCTGGCGGGTTCACACCCAAAGGTGCAAGGGTCGGCGCGACAGTTCGCGCGGTACGTGCAGCCTACTGTTCTCCGAAAGCGCGGCGATTTAGCTGCTCCCTCAGGTCACCAGCGGGAGCACGGCCGTCAGCAAACAGTTCTGATGGATTCGCGACAGCTGTCACCTGCCCATTGGCCGGCGGGATGGCGGCGTTGGGACCGGTGTTGCGGTTACTTCGTCTGGTACGCGCCATCAGTAAAGGTTTGAAACGAGACCTTTAGTTTCGATCCCCACAGACGACGCCAATGTTGGTTTGTACAACCTTGATGGCTGCTCGGCAAGCCAACACTACCGAAAAGAAAGTAAAGGTCTTTTTATGAGATAACGAAAATAAAGATGAATCAATAAAGAGAGAATAATGCGGTGTTATTTCTCTAGGGTTTGTCCCTCGAAGTGCCGACCAAAAAAGTCCTCTACATGATGATCCCGAGGGGATATTTATACTTATATGTGGAGTTCACATATAGAAAGTAGGGTTGACGTAAAGCCTAACTTAATAGGGGAATAGGGCTGACGTGTTGTCAACTTACTGCCTTTTCCATATGAACTAATTAAGAAAGTTGCCTAATGTGCGAAGATTGCTTCCGTAAAATCTGCTCGACGAGTTACTGGGGTGTGCCCGGCCAGGAATGGTCCCGACTGCGGAGGGGGCTCTCCTGGGTGCTTGGCTTTAGATAACAACATCCCATCCGAAGGGACTGGTCGGACAACCAGGTCCTGGGAAAGTGTTCAATCAGAGGCGCGCCACCCAGCGTGACTGGTCGTCTAACCGTATTTCTTCTGCAAGCCCGCCAGCGGATACGCCGACCGTTGGGTTGGCCGATTGGGAGCGCTCGGTGGCCACCGCAAGGCGCTCCGCATCATGGCTAGGAAGTCCTTGGCGATCTTCCCCCTGCTAAGTAATGAATCATCTCTAACTCTGGCTGCTTTGTTTGACCTTCCATCCAGGCGGCAGATTTGGGGTATCTATCAACACCCATCTCAAACTGGCCGGAAAATGCAGGACACGCCAGAGAACATCGTCCGCCCCCAAACTCGATCCATGTCACCATTAAGAGCTAATAAAATCCAACAGAGAGAAACTTACACCAGGCATTCCCCACCGGCTGAACTCATCCACATCGGGATTAACACGAAGCCATCACCTTTCCTTTTTTTTAAAACCTAGAATAACCGATTTGCCCCCATTTAAAATGGATTACAACTTTCTGACAACATTGAGCGGGTAATTTGGCGGGTGGACCAAATATGTTAAAAATTGCATAGTTAGGGTACTAAATTGTTAGTTTTTAAAATTGTGGATTGAAATTAACAAGACATCAATAGTCATAGGACCAAAAGTGTAACTTTCTCACGTTCAAACTTATAAAGTTACGTGCATTAATTGCAAAGACACTAGACTCTGTTTTATAAAAGTTACTAGTATTTTATATGCGCGATGCGCAAAAAATATATGTCCAATATTAAAATTTAAATATTAAAATCTTAGTTATATTAATTTTTTAAATAATAGTGTGTGTGTGTGTGTGTGTATATATATATATATATATATATATATATATATATATATATATATATATATATATATATATATATATATATATATAATTGTATAATTCATATTAATGTTATTGAGGTAAGAATTATAGAAATGATAAATTACTAAATATAACTATGGTAACATTTTAATTAAAACCTAAATGAATTCAAACTTACCATTGAAGGATGTAAGAAAAAATATTATTTATGCATGTACATGGTAATAATAATGTGGAAAGATAACAGAAGTTATAACGGCATGGATATTTTTGTCCAAAAAATTATGTATTACAACTTTTATAGCATAAGGTACAAAAAATATTAACAGAAAAAATGGACATAAGCCAGGGGTATAACCTGGATTGAAACTTATTATATTTTTAGATTTGGAGCTTATAGCTTATTTTAAATTATAAATAAGTTATAACTCTTTTTAGTAAAATATTGAGAGTTTAAAATAATAGCTTATTTTGAAACATTATTTTAAGTAGCGTTTCAAAATGATGAGGATACGATATATCTGAATGAATAATAATGAGTCTGTACAGGAGTATATATAGTAGTGAATAGTAAACCTATTACAAGACGAATACTAATAATAATAGGTAACGAATACTAATTACTAATAATAATAGATAACGAATACTAATGATGATAGAGTCCTAATACTCCCCCTCAAGCACAAGGTGGACTAGCAACAACATTGAGCTTGCCACATAGAGTAGAGAAACACGGACCAGGGAGAGCTTTAGTGAACACATCAGCGAGCTGATCCTTTGTGGAAATGAAGCTAACCTGCAACTCCTTCTTCGCCACTTTGTCACGAACAAAGTGGTAATCAATTTCCACATGCTTCGTACGAGCATGGAACACCGGGTTGGAACAGAGATAAGTCGCACCCAAATTATCACACCAGAGAGTGGGAGGAGTAGCCAATGACACTCCAAGCTCTTGCAACAGAGAAACCAACCAGGTGACCTCCGCAGACACATCAGCCAGAGCCTTGTATTCAGCCTCTGTAGACGAACGAGCAACCGTGCGTTGCTTCCGACAAGACCAGGAAATCAGATTGCCACCAAGAAAAACCGCAAAACCACTAGTAGACTTCCTGTCAGCTGGATCACCAGCCCAGTCCGAATCCGAAAAGGCATGAACCGCAACAGAGGAGGAAGGACGAATAAAAAGACCAAAGTGCAGAGTTCCTTTTACATACGGCAGAACACGCTTGAGCATAGCCCAATGCTCAGTGGTTGGAGAGTGCATATGCTGACAGACCCGATTCACGGCAAAAGAGAGATCTGGACGAGTAACAGTAAGATACTGTAGAGCCCCAGCAAGACTGCGATACTGCGTGGGATCCGCATAGGGAACCACAGAATCAGAAGAAGGTCGGGACACAGGAACCGGAGTAGCCAACGGTTTACAGTCCACCATACCTGCACGGCTCAAAATATCTCGCATGTATCGTTGCTGAGAAAGAAACAAACCACCATCCTTGGAGACCGTCTCAATGCCAAGAAAAAAAAGACGGAGCACCCATGTCACGAATCTTAAACTCCGAGGCTAAGTCAGTAAGAAGCCGAGTAACACACGAAGCATCAGACCCCATAACAAGGATATCATCAACATAGACAAGCAAATATAAACAAATAGAGGCACGAGTATAGATGAATAAAGAAACATCAGTCTTGGAGGGTGAAAAACCAACCGACACCAAGAAAGCATGCAACCTATTGAACCACGCTCGAGGAGCCTGCTTAAGACCATAGAGTGACCTCTGTAACAAAACACACATCATCCGGCCGTGACTGGTCTTCATAACCGGGCGGCTGTCTCATGTAAACTGTCTCTGCAAGATTACCATTGAGGAAGGAGTTGTGAACATCCAATTGCCGAATGACCCAACCGCGAGAAACGGCTAAAGAGAGAAGAAGGCGCACGGTGGTGGGTTTGACAACAGGACTGAAAGTCTCAAAAAAGTCTTGCCCAGCGACTTGATTGAAACCCTTTGCGACCAATCGAGCCTTGTGCCGCTCAATCGTGCCATCGGCTTTGCGCTTCGTTCTGAACACCCATTTGCACCCCACAACATTCATGCCAGGTGTACGACTAACCAGACGACAAGTGTGATTCTGGAGCAAGGCATTAAACTCAAGATCCATGGCCTCACGCCACTCCGGATACCGAACTGCCTGAGAATAACAAGTCGGTTCAGGAACAGTCATAAGAGCCACATGCTGCGTTGGTCCTTGAGAACGGGTTGCCATGACATGAGACCGAGGCTGAACAGGCTTCGCCATACGGTGGCCTCGCTTGGGCGCAGTAGGAGCACCCGAGACCGCCCCTTCCGGAGCCGTAGCAGTCACGGTGCGAGAATCTGAACCAGCTGCGGCAGCCCCGGAATCCGCGTCCAACTCTGGATGAGGATCAGGTCCAGTGGGACAAACATCGGAGCCAACACCAACCCGAACGGCACCAACACCCCACGGCTCAACCGGGCAAGAGCTAGAGACCTGAGAAGGCATAGAAGAAGCAAACGGATATACGGTCTCATCAAACCGTACATGACGACAAATGAATACCTTGTTAGTAGCAGGATCTAAACAACGATAGCCACGAAACGAAGACGGATAACCAAGAAACACACACGGGGATGACCGATACTGCAACTTGTTACGATTGTACGGGCGCAACAGAGGATAACAGAGACAGCCAAACACACGCAAGAAGGAATAAGAAGGATTAGAATGATGCAAACGATAATGAGGACTGACATTGTCTAGAACTCGAGTAGGCATTTTATTGATGAGATAGACCGCAGTCTCAAAGGCATAATCCCAATATCGCTGTGGAACCGAAGCCTGAGCCAAAAGAGCCAGACCCGTTTCCACAACGTGACGATGCCGACGCTCAACTCTACCATTCTGCTCATGGGTATAGGCACAAGATTGCCTATAATTGATACCCAAAGAGACAAAAGTACGGTGCAATCGTTTATACTCTCCCCCAAAATCAAATTGTATAGAGACAATCTTACAACCATATGAACGCTCAACTAGTGACCGAAACTGCTCGAAGATAGCATACACATCAGTTTTTAATCGCATAGGATAAAACCATACATAGCGTGTGTAGTCATCAACAAACAAAACAAAATAACGAAAACCATTGACAGAAAGAAAAGGCGCTGGGCCCCAAATATCAGTATAAATAAGCTCTAAAACATGCGACGTAGTAGTATTGGCATGAGGTAAGGGAAACCGAGATGATTTCCCAAGCATACAAGCACGACACGACACCGAACTATTACTAAAACTAGAATCAATGGAACACGAATTCAAAATCTGCCGCAAGACACGAGGATGAGGGTGACCCAACCGACCATGCCAAACGTCAGAGGAGACACGCGAAGCCACTAACGCAGCGGGACTCGAACGAGAAACAGGCCAAGAATAGAGACCCCCCAAAGCCTGCCCTCTATACAGAACTTCCCTGGTTGAACGATCCTTCACAAAGAAACAATCAGGTTGAAATTCAAAGAATACATTATTATCACGGGCAAACCGTTGCACAGATAATAAAGACGCAGAAAGCCCAGGAACAAAAAAAACATCAGACAACCGAAATAGTGTTTTAGAAGAGGCTACCGAAGACGAACCAGTACCAACAATAGGTAAACACTTACCGTCACCAACACGAAGATGATCCGGACCGTTATAAGAGACTATCGAGGACATTAAAGACGGATCTGGGGTGGCATGGTTCGACGCACCAGTGTCGGGAAACCATTGCTGAGTGCTAACCGAAGCCGCATCATCCACAGGATACGCAACATGCGCTCTCGGCCCCGGAGCTCCATCGTACCGGCGAAAGCACGAAGCGGCCGAATGGCCCTCGCCGGAGCAGATCTGGCACTGGACAGCCCCAGCACCGCCACGACCACGGCCACGCCCTTTGCCGCGACCACGGCCGCGGTTGCCGCCTCCACGCTGCTGCCCGCCCGAACGGCCTCCACCTCGCTGAGCCGCCATGGCGACCGGAGCAGCAGCAACATCACCAGCATCATCGGCACATATAAAAGCCTGCGAAATAAGAAAATCGGATAGCTCGGGCAGAGACACCGGAGCACCCCTTGTGAGCGACACCACCGAAGGACGATATTCGGACCGCAAGCCTCGGAATATATACATATTCTGATCCTCTAGCGTCACCGGACGGCCGGCAAGCGCTAAATCCTCGATAAGCACCTGCGCACGGCCAAGATAGTCCGGGATCGAAGCATCCCCTTGCCGTAATCCTTGCAACTCGCCCACCAACCGGAGGGCACGAGCCCATGTAGTCGAACCAAGAACCTGTTCGATTGCTAACCACAAATGCCGAGAAGTGGACTTACCGATTGCGAGGTGCATCATCTCGTCGGACAAGGATGAGATTAATAAGGATAGCACGGCCTTATCTTGACGGAGCCATGCACTCCGAGCAGTGGAAGACGAAGCCGACGAAGGCACGGCAGGAACAGCTCCCTCGGCAGGCGGCACGGCAAGCGCGGTGATCGGCGGACATACCGAAGTACCATCGACAAAACCCAACAACCCTTGGCCATCCAAGAACGGAAGAAGCTGAGTACGCCAAAACAAAAAATTGCGGGATGTCAACTTGATGGAGACGAAGTGATGCGCCGAAGATAAAGACACCCCCGACTGCAGCGGTGCAACAAGCGCGGCCTCGGAAACGGTCCGTTCAGAACTACCAACAGAGCTGTCATCAGATCTGAGGTGCGCCATTAGAGAGAGGAGAGAGAAACCTGCTGATACCAGATGAGGATACGATATATCTGAATGAATAATAATGAGTCTGTACAGGAGTATATATAGTAGTGAATAGTAAACCTATTACAAGACGAATACTAATAATAATAGGTAACGAATACTAATTACTAATAATAATAGGTAACGAATACTAATGATGATAGAGTCCTAATAAAAATAAGGTACAGGCTTTTAACAATTTTTTTCTTTTTTTATCCTTATTAATATACAAAAATGACATCATTTATCATTCACTAGTATTAAAAAAAAAATAAAGAATACTAATTTTTCGCTACCCTTTTTAAAAGAAGTGTAGTATATTGTTTGTAAAAAAAAGTGCAACGTCATAATTGTCAATAAATGAACAGGAAACCGCAACCCTTTTTCTTAGAAAGGGTAGCAGAAAATTTATTAATAAAATATTAATAAATTTCCGCAAATCTTTCTTCTAAAAAGGGTAGCGGAAATTTTATTAATAAAAAATTAATATAAAATCAATTACAAAACCTACATAGAAATCGACCAGACTCCACCACAAAACCTCTCAACTCCGCCACCAAATCCACCGCCTCTCTCAGCCACCAACGACGTCGCCAGCAACGCCACTCTTCTTCTCATTAGCCACCGGCGATGAGCTTCGTATTCATAAATCTCGCCGGCGACCTAGCTAAATAACGACCACAGACCAGAGCAACGATGACGAGCTTCAGCTTCGAGCACTGTCAGCAACGAGCTTCGGCTTTGACACCGTCAGCGGCGAGCTCGAGAGCAGCGGTAGCAGGCACCGTCAACGGTGAACGCGAGACAGAGGGAGAGCTTCGGCGAGGACACTAGTGCTTCTTTAATCAAAACCCTAAACACTTTTTGTCCTCCCATTGCTTTACCGTACATGTATTTTTCTAAACATTCTTCTGTTGGACATTTATATAGTAAATGGTTGAATATATGTATTTAGACATGTCTACCGAATGCATAAATAATATTTTGGTGTTGTGGAGTTGAAAATATTATTTATGTTTGGTAGGAAGATTATGTTTTTTTTTTAATCAAGAATGTTTTGGGCCATCTCCAACACAAAACACCAAATTCTGCACTAAATTTTACACCAAAAGGGATATTCTCAACATATTCTAATACCAAATTTTTATCATCTCCAACTCATTTACACAAAATTCTACAAAAATTTTATTTTATCTCCGATCCATTTACACCAAATTCAATTCATACACTAAAATAATTTGTATTCTTATAATTTAAAACATTAATTTTGTTTGCTTTAATTATTTTAATATAAACTATAATTTTGATATAAATAATAATATTTTAAAATGAAATTTATGTTTATATGTATTTTATAGTCAATACTGATATCGTTTTAAACGTTTCAATGAGATCTTTAAATCTTTATAATTTATTTTTAATAATATAACTTTTTGAAAGAAAACAATTGACAAAAAGATTTTAAAAAGTTGTACACCAAATTAGTGTGAATGAATAGTGTTACACCATATATATATATATACATACATATATATATATATATATATATATATATATATATATATATATATATATATATATCAAAAGGTTATGTAAGGCCATTCGTTGTTAATCATGAGATAAATGGTTTATGTAACACCCCCCAAACAAGAC